GACAGCACTGATATCTGTTCATCTCCCTCTTATTAACAATGCAGCAGGATCTGTTACAACCTGCAACATCACATCTTCATTATTCATCACTCTAAAATCTTTTCAACCTCTCAGCCACGGCCCCATTTTTAACAGCAAAATTGTGTTCCAATATTGGGACATTTAACTAAACATAATTTTAATATGCCAAATATGATTGTTGTGATAATTATTTGGAAAAAATAATTGTTAAAAATGAGTAAGTCAAGCTCTTTCATTGGTCAGGCCAAATGTACGACCGACGTGACTCACAGTTAGTTACGTTTTCAGTGTAAGTCAGTGCAAAACATGTTCTCTTTTTGGTCACATGGAATTCAATGGATAAACGACAACAAACAGAAGTTTTGGATGTGTTTTGGTGTTTGTTAAGTTTGCGAGATCAAGCAAAATCGGATCGGTCGCCTTATTGTGTTACATTTGATTACATTTTAAAAGACTGGCTCATTTAGATTCACGTTGAGCACGTAGAGCCCACAGAACACACCCAGAACCCAACACAGCACAGAGTAACAGTGTAATAGAGACTCAAAGACCACCAACCACTCGTTTGATCATTATGCCCGTATTCATGCTACTAAAAGTGTGTAGAGAGCCTGTGTAAGTGGACAGAGTAGCACCTTTTTACGAAGATTCTGACATTCATTAACGTTTTCTTATTTGGGATTTGTTCTTAGGTAAGAACAGAATCTACACACACTCTGGAGCACAAGGTCTGAGCAGTTCGTCAGTTTAAGAACACGTCATGAACCTGATGTAGACTTTTTCTTAGAACTTTCTCAAGAACACATTTAAGAACAAACTTCAGAAGATTTTGGCGAATGAGGCCCAATGCTGTCATTTAACGCCCATTCAGTGAGGCCCATTCAATGATTTTTGCACTGCAAAAAAAAAAGATGGTTCTTTAGTCAAGGGAATGGTTCTGAGTCCTATATAGAACCAATTAATGCTTCAGTGGTTCTTCGCATGGAAAAATGGGGTATGTTTATTTGCACAGTCTTTCAAGTTACACTCAACTAAATATCTGCCAAATTGACCATAATGTTCTTTAACTCTAAACCTGCTCTAATCCTAACCCTAACCTTAACCTCAACCCACAACCTAAACCCAACCCTCACCCTGGTCCTAGTCCTAACCCTGGTCCAAATCCAGTTTCAACTGATAGTTTGTTAACGATTTGAACATCTGTAGATCATCTATAGAGGACTAAAGTGGACTATCCAAATGAAGTGAGACCCAAAATGGTCCTTCAGATTGAAGGACCGAGGGAGGCCAGTGGTCCATAGTGGACTTTTGATGGCACTTTGTCATAAGAAACAGTGAAAAAAATAACCGACGTAACAATAAAAAGAAATATTAAATGTTTTTTGCTCCTTGCCTCTAGAAACTCATGGTTCTAAACAGAACCATTCTCTTCACTAAATAACATCGTGTAGTTTTGCCACTGATTCAGTTCGATTTGCTTAGTTTTGTTCACTTCAGTTTGATTCGCCCTGATCTGCTCAGACCTGATTTAATTCCATCCAACTCAGTTCTGTTCCCTGTTTTTCGTGGTTGTGATGCTCTCAAAGCCCTGCAGTCCCACCAGACGCTCCTCAATAACGCTCCGAGCCCCGCTCCCATCCCTCTCTCCTCCTGAGAGACAGTTTGATGAGTTACAGCTCTGATCTCTCCTCTAACTGCACTCTAACTGCTGCACTCATTCGCTGACAGCTCCTCCGATTGGCTGATAAGACACCTCCTGCTCCAAGGCTGCCTCTGATTGGCTGAGGAGCAGCTGCAGTGTGTGAGTGTTTGTCCGTGTGTGTGTGAGAGGAGCTGTGCTGGGAGTGTTTTAGAGTGTGTGTGTGGGTGTACGGGTGGGTGGGGGTGTCCACACGTGGTTGGAGGGTAATTGAAATGGAGTCTGAACGCAGGAGAAAGATAATAACGCGTCAAGGCTGGGTGGGCCGGGATAATGAACTACACTTCAGACCACGCTGAGCCCACAGAACACACCCAGACCCCAACACAGCGTAATAGAGACTCAAAAACCACCAGCCACTCATTCGAGGATTACGCCTGTTATTCATGCTAGTGGAAGTGTTTAGAGTGGATTACATCATCTTTCACTCCACAGAAGGAAAGGCCAGTCTGTTTGTAGCACTGTTAATACACAAAGGAGATTCAAAGAGCTTTGCATAAAGCTGCTGTCGGAACAAAACCTCATATTTTTCAGCTTTTGACATAATTTAAAAATGCCTGTTGTCCGTTACATTGTGTGTAGATTTCATGATGAACGGACTAAAAGAAACGACCCAAAATGACGTGGAAAGATGTCTGGTTCCATTGACTTACATTAAAAGTAAAGCATGTTTTTTATTTCTCCTGTAAAGTTACTATTTTGGAGATACGAGGCTTTGATCTGACAGCAGAGATAAAAAATAGATAAAAACTAGATTTATACACTACTTTACAAAAATCAGAAACCATCCCTTGGTTACTTGGTTTCCGGTTCAAAAGGCCATTAAACGTAAGAAAAAAGCAGAAAACATATATTTAACAGAAATTTACTGTGTCCACTCTTTAACTTTATTCCAGTTTCCATTCTTTTCAGGAGACTCACTTTCGGTTCCTCAAAGAATCTGCAGACACACCTCCAAAGTTCAGTCTTAGAAGCTGGTTGATCATTTTCTGAAGTAGTCAAACACATTCAGTGGTGTTGAGGTCTGGACTCTGGGGTGGTCAGTCCATTGTTCAGCTTCTTTGTTTGATGTGTCCGTCTCCATTTCTCAGTGAGGTTCTTCTTGATGGCTACACATCCTTTCAGACCCACAGCGCTGAGTCGTCTTCTCACAGTGGAAGGATGGACAGAAACACCTGTGGATGTTTTCAGATCTGAAGCAGCTTGATTTTCTCCTCTCTCTCAGAGATGAAAGCTTTAAGTGCTGTTTATCTGATGGGGGCAGTTTTGGTGTCGACCAGGTCTTCCAGGTTTCTCAGCAGCTTGTTATTGTTTTTGTTAACCTTGAGGAAGTTTTGTTTTTTAAGGAGAAGAATAGAATAAGAAGAGTGAAAGTCTGGCTCCTGTTTTTGCTGCTCTCCAGCAGCTGCATGTATTTGTTCGGTTCCGTCAGCAGCACCTGATTTATTTAATAAGGGATTGATTAGATAAGTTAGGTATTGGATGGTAATTGTAAACACTCAATGTCCTCATGATGGATTGTTTATTTTTCTAATGTTTCTGTTTTTAAAGAAATAAATTGTTGCTGTCAGAACAAAACCTCATATCTCCAATACAGTAACTTTAAAGGAGAAAGAAAAATGTAAAATGTTCCGAACTTTAAAAGGAAGTTTATGGAAGAAGATTTTATTCTGGATCATTTCTGTTCTTTCGTCCGTCATGATGACCCAGCGTAAAGAGCAGCTGTTGTGGTCAGATTATATAAAAAAAGTGACAGAATGCTCACAGTCCAGATAAACGGCTTTACATAGAGATACAGAGAAAACGTGAGAGAGAGAGAGATACAGAGAAAGATAGAGAGAGAGAGAAGGAGAGAGAGAGAGAGACAGAGAAAGCAAGAGAGAGAGA